ATATTTATATAGTTTTTAAAGGATTTCAAAGATCTGTACTAGACTTTAAGGAACTAAGCTTTGTGGCTGAGCGCTAATCAAATATTAATATTTATATTTCATTGGAATACCTCATATTCAAACAGGAAAACAAAGACATAGAGAAAGGTAGAGGGTTTGCCAGAGTCTGCACAGAAAGAGAAGACCACATTTAGCACCCGTGCCTTCGGATTGCTCAGCTTGGCACTGCGGGAGCACACTTGGCATCAGGGAGCTCCTGGCTTCTCTCTCCCTCTGACTCCCGCTTCAGGCACACCCAGCTTGCAGGTGAAGAGTCTCTCTCACACACATGGGCTGGGCTCAGGTACCCAGCTCCCTTCTTTCTGTCTCCACACTTCATTCACAAAGGCAACGTCTGCCAAATTCTGGCTACTGCGAAGCTTGACTGCATTCAAGTATCACCCCCATTTCAAGTGTGCATACACTCCTCCTTCTCCCCCTGTTTTTGAGGACCGTCAAGGTGAGAGAGCTGTCACCAGAAACCTCTTCTGGGGTCTTTTCCAGTGCATGGTTCAGTCTATAACTCTTTAACAATCACTTTACTGTTTGAAACCTCAGTCACTGAACAAATACGATTTTACTGCTGCTTAGTTTGGATGTTGAACTGTATTGGAGGAAACTGCTCTACTTTCATACTGAATTTTTTTTCAGGGTGGTGTGTGTGAAAAATAACACAAATAGGAGTGTTTTTGGATAGTCACACTGAGCAGTCAGCAAGAAGAAAAGTGCAGTATGGTGAAGGGAAATCTCTTTGTAGTAAAAGCAATATGGGCTTGTGGTTTGCTGGCAGGACCAAGAACATGAACTGTCCACTTTAACCCCAGCTGTAAAACTCCCTTCTGTTGGTGGAGAAATCACTTGATGTCCTGTTGTTGCTCCTCAATTTTATCTTCATGGTGTCAACCATGACCCATCTCACCAGAATACCATTCCTCTTGAAGTTCAGGTATTAGCAGAGGTTTTGTAGAGATGCTTTTCTAACCTAACGAGCCCACTCCTTGTCAATGTTAAGAGTGTCATTGTCTTCCTTTCCCAATTAAACAGGCTTTTATGGCTTTCACTTTTTTAGCTTGGCAGAATCACCAGTTCTGGGAGCAAAATTCACTGCTGCCTTGTGCATTATGCAGATTTCCAGTAGCAACCTCAGATTAAGAATTTGGTATTGATATTTTCAGTGGGACATAATTTCATTTTCTCAGCACAGCTGATCTGAGCTCCTTGAGAAATGGTAATCATGAGACATTGCAATCTTTGCAGGCACATTTGCAGTAGCCCTAGATCTGGTTAGATTTAATGTCTGCACCTAAACTATGAATTTACATGAGGAAAAACTTGAGTTTACCAGGTAGGAGCACCTAACTCCACAGATTCCCTTGGCAAAAGCAGGTGTCGTCAGTCTTTTCTCAGTTTTTCAAAGGTTTTGGCTGTGTGCCCTGTGTATTGACCATTTTTCTCGCAAAAGGCCTCACTTTTGTTTTCCCTCTATCATTTCCACTTTGAGCTGTCTAGTGTTGCAGTGGCTCTCACAAGAAGCTGTCCTTGTACTCCTGCCAAAACCAGAATTACAGCCTAAGTCAGCCTTTAACTGGGCATTAGAAGGAAATGGCACTCTTCTCATTTTGCTAGCAGTATCACTTCCTCAGCTCCACAAATAATTATCTGATCCAAAACTTCTCCATTATTGTGTTTAAGGGTTTTGAGACTCTTGTACCTAAAAAAATTCAAATGCTGAGCTGTGTTGTAATGCGTATTGCTCCTTCTTGTATGTGAATATCCTAAGCACCAGGAAGTGCCAGGTTCAGGGATCTTTTTGTCAGAACTCATCATTTCTTGCTTTCTAAGTCATCTTTTAGATTGTATGAATTTTAAATATTTGTTGGCTAGAGGACAATATGTTGAGATAACTGCATAGAGAAAAGACAAGAACTACCAAAAGGCAGAAGCCAGCAAGTTGGGTAGTCTGTTGAAGATAAATCCTTTCCTAGAGAAAAAGTTACATCCTGTAATGCCCAGGTCAGTTGGATATAACAGCGTTGCAGGCTGACAAATTCTCTGCTTTCCTGCTAACTATTATGAACAGAACTTAAAAAAAAAAACCCACAAACAAACAACAACAACAATAAAAACCCCAGAACATTAATTACAATTACATTTTAACTATGATTGAAGTAGGAGAAACAAGCCTAGTAAACAGTGTTAGAAAGTATTTCCCATTATAGTCCATACAAGAACTGGCATAATTTAAATAGCTTGGGTGCATATGGGATGCATTTAGGAAGCATCAGAAACTTCACAGCATTCTCTTTGCTCCCACTCCACTCCATCAGGTTGTTTTTGTTCTTCAGCTCAGCTGCCTTTGCAGGACTGCATCTTAAGGTGTAGCCAGTTTTGGCTGAAAGTTTTCAGACTGTCACTAAAAAAAAAAAAAAAAGGAGCAGGAAAACACAATTAAAAGTTTCATTTCTCTTGCCTAGTTGAAACAGCAAAACAGGTTTGGCTGTTCTGGTGTGAGAGGCAAAGCAGAAAGTACAGCCCCTCTGTTTAAAATAAAATTACTATTTTACAGCCCAATTTGCACAGGTGGGCCAGGGAGGCAGGCAGGACGGGTTGTGAGAGAAAGAGGCTGCAAGGAGAAGCAATGCAATCTCTTACACATCTTAAGCAACAGTCTGACCCTTTGGTACTATATATGTCCAAAGTTTAGTTGAGCTGGCACAGCAAGGTTGTGCTACCTATGTTTGTGTGGTCCACCTGCATGTACGTGCTATTGGTGAATTTGTGAACCTTCCCCTCAGCCCATTTACAGTTTGCCCAGGGATTTAGCAGAGTTTTGCAATCTTTCTCCAGAAGTCTGGCTCGTCAGATGTAACATTAAATGAAATTGGTTTGTATTGCAACAGGATTGGTGGGAGGATCAAAGGCTTGGTGTAAAATAAAAGGAGGTTTTTGGGTTCTGTGTGCTGAAATGTTTCTATTTCCCTTATTTTTTTTATTAGTGTATATTAAGCAATTGAATTCTCCAATAGTAAGCAAAAAAAATTCTACCAAAGCAGTTATTAAAGAAAGCCTCTTCAGTTACTGTGACAAGGGCTGAGTGTTACAGCTATAAAGGGTCTTAGAAACTGTGTTCTTTTAAGGCTGATCAAAGTTTAGTTTTAAAATCAGGGGTGTGCACCTAGACAACATAATATACCTGATAATTCTGGTTTAGTCTGAAGAACCTAGGGTCAGCTAGAAATTTGGCAGATTGTCTCTCAGGTCAGGAAGTTGTTCTGGTTTACAAATTTAAAAGCCAAATTCTGTTTTAGTATTTCTTAAATGTCAAAACAACCCTCTGACCTTGAGAATTACTTTTTCTGTGTACTTTTGGGGCTTTTAAGTAAAAACCAGGCCTTTTTTCTTAGTGAAATATGGTAGCCTGTTAGTCATCAAATCTGAGAATTTAGAGAAGGGAGGGGGACATTAACTCATCTTTTCTTTCCCTTTGCCAGTGCAAGAATGGGCTTCATTCACATCAATGGCAACTGGAGGGAAAAAGACATGCTAACCTTTAACTGTGCTTCCAGTTTATTTCCATAATGTACACTCTGGCTTTTCCAAGGATGAATCCTCTGCCTGCAGCCTTTCAGACCTCATAACAATAATAAAAGAGAGGACAAGTTGTTCTGCTCTCTTTCAGAACTTAGCCTCCAATGCCTTGATTTTGGTTTGTCCCCACCTAAGCACTGCTGGAAGGTAAAGGCCATATTTATTGCAGCTGGCCAATTGCACATGTCTGTAACCCAAACTGGTCATTCCTAGCCCTCAATAACACGATTTGTTGATCTTAAATATGGCATCTGAGCAGCCCATTTAGTTTACGTATTTCCAGTGTTCTCCTTTTTGGAAAGTAATTTTTCCACTTCTGAAATTTTGATGAAAACTGAAATTATGCCCTTCCTTCATCCCTTCTCCATCCACCTCTTCTTTTCATTCTTGAATTTCCTTTTGGAAAGGAGGTATCTGTGTGGTGCCCCTGTTTCCAGCAGAGCAGAAGAAGCCTACCCTTCTCACTGTGAATGAGAAATGGCATGGGAGGGAGCAGTCTGTAGCCTGTAGCCCTTCTCTCTCCCCTGAAAGTGGAGCATAACTCATCCTCAGATGCTGCTGTTCTGTGCAAAACTGACTTCTGATCTTTTTAGTTCTGATATCATGAACCCCAAGACTTCTTATGGTGTGAGCGCTGGGCCTCTTCTTCCTCAATTATCCTCAATTGTATCTAATGTTAAGGCATTCTCCAAGATTTTCTGCCCAAGGATTTGCAGTTACTAAGTGATTGTTAATGACTTAGCTTTCCCTGGATTTCTGTGAAGTATGGAGGTAATATTAACCGTAGGGGAAACTGAGGCACGGGAGGAATCTGGATTTAACAGAATACCTAAGCACATAGTTCTTTGAAATAAGGGTAATTTCAAGAAATTTGCTGAGAAGTTGTTTGCTGAAAAACATAAATAACTGAATTGTGTTTATAGAAATAAATTAATTAGGTACCACTGTAAAAGAGAGATGGAGAAATCAAGGCATAGCATTTTTTTAAGGTCAAGCAACCTGAGAGTTTATGCTCACAGAGTTAAGGAGCTTTCTTTTCTTAGCCTTTCTGGTTACATTCCTTCCTTTCTTCATGTAGCTGACCATTTAAAAGATTGAACAAGGCTTTTTTGGAGAAGGGATTAAATTTTGAGGGGGTTGGTTCTAAGGTGATGGTTATTCAGCCAATTTATGATGTAGTATTATAAATTAATAAGTAGATTGAAATGTTCAAAAATAATATCTGCTCAATGATATGCCAACTTAATGTAGAACAAACACCTACTACTGATCTGTAGTTAAATTATTTAATCTAGAACTAATCTACTGTTCAAACCAGTTTTGAAAATGGAATAGTTCTATCGCTGAAAATAATTAATTGTTCAAACCCATAGGGCTAAATCCAGCAGTGACCTAGATGATAGCAGAGAATTACACATTGGACATCAGTGTGTGGGAAAGTAAGTAACAAAATAATATGTGTTGCCCTGGTTCTCTCTTATCCTGGCCAGAATCACACACTTTTGTTGGTAGGGTTCTCGGCTGGTGCTGGCTTTGTCCCCTAGTTCCTCCCTCCAGCATTTGAGTTCCAACACTTTTATGATTATTTCACAGGGAAAGTTGGTAGAGGTTTATGTTTTCTTTGCCCTGCATCCATTTTCACCCATTCTGTGACCTGGCACGGGCTGTGGGCCCTGGCTGGTCCTGTGGAAGAGTTTGGCTCAGCAGGGCTGATCCCACATCTGGCTAGGGGAGACTTCTGTCAGAGTACTCTTGGTGACATCACTGAAATTGCTACTGATGCATCCTGATGTGAAGATGAGCAGATCTCAGGCCAGTAGCCCTCACTGATGAAGTGTTTCCGGCATCCCATTTCAGGAAAAATACCAAGCTCCTTTGATGAAGGGAAAAAACCAAAAAAAAAAGTGTTTTTTCTCTTTATCTCCAAACAGCTCCACAGAACAACATGGGGGGAAGGAGAATAGCAAATATTCAATGGGAAGTTTTGTCTCCATTTTTTCCTTCTTTGAGAAAAACATTCCACACAAAAATCAAAACAAGATGGAGCCCTGGAGCCCCACCTGCTGACTTGAGGGAACAGAGAGAGGGACGGAAAGATGCCTGGTCGTGTGCCAAGCATTCAGCACTGGGCTTGTAGCACTGTGATGTGGCACTTGAAGCTCTAGGGGCCTGGAGCCAGCGATACAAATGCAACAAGAACTCTCATGAAAACGAGCCTCTTAACAGCGTGTGGAGCTGGTCTGTGATGGCCTCAGGAAATCCCCCTGGCTAGACAGGGCCTTTTTATCCACTACATTGCTCTGACTCAAAGAGAAATCTCACGTAGCTTCCTCGACCAGAAAGTGAACATGCATATAGTCTGCAGCGTGGGGCTTTGGAATTTCCTGATTTTCAGGTAGTCATTCACCTCCTGTCGCTCTGAAGAAGTCTGCCCTACCTTTCTTTGTTGTCTCATCGCACGTAGGGCCTGGTGCTGCAAGCACATGGCGCATCCTCGGCCATCAGGCTTCGCGCTGTCCTTCCTTTGTGGTCAGACCCTCTGCTGATGGACACTGGCCTAGGGCCACTGGTTGGAGCTGGGATTTTCACTCCTTGGACATTTGGTGCTTTAAAGCCCTGAGAACTACTTTTAATAACACCACAACTGGCAACACTTGTTTTCAGGCCATCTACGAGCAAATGCTTGCGTATTAATTACAACAAAGAGCAAATCTACTTGACATTTGATTTTGTTTTTCTTGTTTCCTTGCAAGCTTGAAAATGAGCTGCTTTTGCCAAAGGAAAAAAAAAAACAAAATGCATTTCACGCCTTTCTTTTTTTTTTTTAACTTGAAATAGGCCCCTTGAAAAAACTGACATGTTAAACACCAGCAAGAAAATGATTATTTGGACATATGGCTCCTCTTCCTGAACTTTGCAGAGAGGTTAGATAACGCTCTTTCACATCTTAAAAGACTAGACTGCTGCTACATTACTAACATATTCTTATGTAATAATCTGGCACTGATGGTACTTGATCCAGTCCCAGACATGTAAGACTGATTTATGGTTCGGTCAGTTATGAGGGATTTTGTTTTTTCACAGATTATCTTCTAATTTGTTGGGGTTTTCATTACAGTGTCCAGAAGTAGAATATAGCATAGCAAAGCATGGAATGGAATGGAATGGAATGGAATGGAATGGAATATGGAATGGAATGGAATGGAATGGAATGGAATGGAATGGAATGGAATGGAATGGAATAGAATAGAATAGAATAGAATAGAATAGAATAGAATAGAATAGAATAGAATAGAATAGAATAGAATAGAATAGAATAGAATAGAATAGAATAGAATCATGCACAGAAACATATTGTGGCTCTGTCATTCAGCAGGGTTTTGCATAGTACAGATTGTTGCTATTAAACACTGCATGATTAATACAAAACTAAAACTAAATTTTAAAATCTAACTCTTAAATTAAGACAAACTCATCTGAACCTATCCATTTACTTTTCAGAGAAGGCTGTTTCATAAAGTGAAAAATCTGTGAGAATTAAAATAAATTTGCCAAACCATCTAAGATAGTGAAATATCACAAAAGATTGTCATTGCACTTGACACAACAGATGTTTGGTCTGGAGGTACTTGCAGAATGCAGAGTCATATAGGTGAGCTGTCCAGAAAACTGCAGTGTCCCACAATGAAAATGTTTGCAATTTTGGAGTATGAGAATGAAACTTCATGAAACTTTTTCATAAAGAAACCAGCTTTTAAAAGACTAGGACCAAGACTCCTCCAGTGGGTGAGGAAGCGTGGGGGGCCTCTTCATTTTGAGCTAGAGTTTCTATCCTCAACCCAAGAAACTTCCCTGATAATATTTTCCTTGAAAATTATGTTTACCATAATTTACTTCATGTTCAGTGACAGAGCTCTGACATGGAAAATTGTGGATTCACAGAATCCTGGAATATTAAAAATCAGAAAGAACCTCCTTAAATCATCTGGGTCCACCTGTCACCCTGCCCAAAGTAGAGCCAGTGAAGATGAGGTTACTTTTTTAACCAGCTTGTTCATCTACGCATGTATGTATGTGTCTTTCTCTATACCAATTTTAAAAGTACTTCTGTCCTACTGTACATTTTTTTCAATAACTCTTTCTGAAACTTGAGATTTTCACAATGATTTTAGGTACTCTTACTGATAAGCAGAAACTCCTGATCAGAAACTGTCCTGCACAAGAATGGATGTGCAGCCATGGTACCCGACTCTTGCTGAGCCTGGTTCCTTCCTTTCATTGCAAGACCACTTTGTTTAGTGACAATGAATTCTAAGGGCTTAAATATCTCACCTAAGTAATAAAATAATGCTGTTACCAAGGACTAGCGTTGACTATTCTTAGACTGAACTCTGTTCCTGCACAGAGGGGGGACCCCAGTTCTGCTACCCTGCATTAATTGCTGCTGTTTGTCGCACATGGGATGTTCTACTAGATGGAGCAGTGGTCTAATCTGATGTGGCAGCTCCTACATTTTTATCTTGTAAGTGCTTTACTTACATGAATTAATTCTGAAAACACTCTTGTGACGTTAGTCATTGTTATGATTCCCATTTTAGAGACCCTGTGTCTAATTCTTAATTATACTAATTCTTCCTTATGCTGGTGAGGTTCCGGATCTGTGAAAGGGTCTCCCAACTGAGGGAGATGGATTGCAGAAATGTCAATGGCAAAATGAGAGTTCATTGCCCTCTAGCAATTCTCTGTTTCTCTGAGCTTGGAGAGAAATATTGGAAGACAAGTATAAAGGTGGTTCTGTTGATTTGTACTAAGGGCTACGCAGGAGTTGCATAGCTCAAGCCTGAAAGAGGTGTTATATTAACCAAAATTAAATTATTGAGATTGTTGACACTTCTTTCAGTGTGGCCATAGGCTCATCAAAAGAAAGGGAAAGCCACCTCTGCTGTCCCTTCTTTTCCTTAAATCAGGATACATTATCAGAGAATTGCCATCCTACCTCCCCCAAAAAAACCTCAAAAACAAAACAATAACCCTAGGAGAGGCAGTGAGCTTGAGAGGGGGAGAAAGAGACAGGCTTTCCCAGGAATTAATAGCAAGCCATTTTAAAAGTCGTCATTATGTGCTGTAACCAGAAGGACCTTCTGTCTTTCTGTATGATAAAACTACCAGTGAGATGTATTGCAAGATAATTAGGAGCAAACAGGCAGGAAAAATGAGTGATGTGCTACTGTTCATTTCCCGAGCCAGTCGTGTTCCAGTCACTGTGCAAGCTGCAGCTCTGTCTGTGGAGAGAGTGGAGGTAGAAATCAACCCTATCTGTGTCTTCCTCCCTCATGGCTTCACCCAGTGGAAGAACATGATGGACAATTATATCTGCTGCAGGAAAGAGTCAGAACTCTACACCCTCCTCTGGATTTTTGGCTTCCCACTCTATTTATATCCAAGTCTAAGAGATGAAGTGGTATGTGCCATAGAGACCCTTTTGCAGCTGTCCCTGAAACAAAACTAACGGTTGGACAGAGAAAACAAAAGGCCTCAGTGGGGTTATTTTGGTGGCAATCTCATGTTTTTGGCATGCTGTGGCTGTACAGCTCCCCAGACTGCAAGCAATGTTGTTGTTCTTACAAAGGTTTTGTCTAGAATGAGGAATATGACAATAATTACAATTTTTCCTCATCGTTGAGCCTATGGAAAAGCCTCCTGAAACAAGGCATCTTTAGATAAGAAAGGCTGGAAGCAGAGGCACAATACCTGTCACCTCCAAATGCAGGAAATAAGATTTGTGACTGTGTGACAGCACCAAAGTTAGCAAGAGGGATATGTAGCATGTTTCCCGTCAGCGTTTAGAACAGAAGTGGGGCAGGCGTCCGCTTTAAAGTTCTTCAAATCAGAATTATAATTGTCTACCCATGAAGGTATGAGAGAAAATTAAACCTCCTGACATCCTGAGATACTTATGCTTCTTTCAAAAATCATAGAATAAAATATAATAGAATAGAGCAGAATAGGCTGGATATAAAACACAGTGGTGTTTAAAATAATTTTATTTTGAAGCGGAGCTGCAGTTGGTAACAATAGCATGGATCATGATAGAAGGTAGAGAGTTAATGTTTTCAAGTGTTTAAAAATCTTTGGGAGCCTTCACAATAAACTTGCTTGTAAATCTACAGAAAATATGTTACCTGCAAAAATCATGTCCTCATTGATCTGCTTTTTTAGCCAGTCATCAGATTTCCTTAACTTTTTGTAAAATTACACTTTCAAAATGTTACTTTTTGACCCGATGCAGCCGAGGAGGGAAAAAAGCAAGAGTCCTTCTCTTGTCTTCTCAACCAGATGTTTTATGGAGTTCCCCTAGGTTGCACTGTTGCTTTTCCAGTGAAGGCAAGGGGATTGAACTAGTGCCCAGGAGGGTATGGCTCACTTTTCAGCACATCATC